ATGAATTTACTCTAAAGAACATGTAACTGATCAGTTTTGTCTACTGAAAGTTGATAAATTTAAGTCCTTCAAGTGAAATAAATTTTTCTAAAATTCTTTCTGTATCCACAGACACGAAAAAAATTATCCAGGTACAATACAATATGTTAGATAGATTAAAAAAACATATCAAAACACATACAAATGCCCCATATACACTTCATATTTCAATAGACTTGTTAATCCCGACACAAATCATGTAATTTTTCTAAAATATCTCAAACTCTGTCAGAACAACTTGTAATGAATCAGACAGGCTAGAATGGCTTGAGGTTGGTGTTTTCTAATGTGTTTTAACAATAGAAGTAAAAGATACAATCTGTGTTTATACTGCCATACAATATGTATATACAATGTACAAACAAAATAAAATAAACAAAAATTCAATATAAATAAACATGTGAACTAATTAAAAGAAAATTGAGGTAAAATAATATTAGTATAAATATTCTTTTTGTATATATAAATATATATATGTCTTCACAGGAATGGACTCTTTTGTCTCCAGAAAAAGAAAATCGTTGATAAATGATTTTGAAAAACACAAATTTTTTTTGTGTGAATGTATTTTAGTCTTAGCATGAAGATAATTTACTCAGTGTTGTGCAACACATATAACACCAGTGCTATATGGTGTGACATTAAACGTTCCTGTGTAGATCTGTTCTGAATATACACATATATATACTGTATATACAAAGTTAATGCCAAATTAACAAAAACAGTTACAGAACATGTAAATAAACTCATAACACAGGTTAGTAGATAAAAACTTAATAAAAATTTCAAACAGAATGGAGAAAAAAATTAAATAAGATAACGGCGAAAAGATCAGAAAGAAATAGAAGAGCACCATTCCAATGAACAAAGTATAAATAAAAATAAATAAAAACGAACAAAAGTCATTAATCAACAAAAACAAATTATTAATAAAATAAAGATATTGAAAAGAATGAAAAAAATAAAAAGTAAACAGAAAAGTACCTTATTTAACTTTTAAATTTTTTTTTAAAACAGCTAAATATCAAGACAGAAAACTGAAAGATAAAGAAACAGGTTGATGTTTTGATGACTTTCCAGATAAAGATAATCACCAAGACAAGAATAGATAATCTCCGGATTAAATTCACTAGGACTAAGTCAGATTATCTCTGGATTAAATTCACTAGGACTAAACGAGATTATCTATGGATTTAAAGCCACTAGGACTAAGAGAGATAATCATTGGATTAAAGTCACTAGGACTAAGAGAGATAATCTTTGGATTAAAAAGTCACTAGGACTAAGAAAGATAATCATTGGATTAAAAAGTCACTAGGACTAAGAGAGATAATCACTGGATTAAAAGTCACTAGAACTAAGAGAGATAATCACTGGATTAAAAGTCACTAGGACTAAGAAAGATAATCTCCAGATTAAAAGTCACTAGGACTAAGAGAGATAATCACTGGATTAAAAGTCACTAGGACTAAGAGAGATAATCTCCAGATTAAAAGTCACTAGGACTATGAGAGATAATTTTTAGATTCATTTATGACTAAGTTAGATAATTTCTGGAATAAAAGTCACTATGACTAGGAAAGACAATATCCGGATACACTGAAGACTAGATTAAATAATCTCCGGATTTACTCAGGACTAGGTTAGATAATCTGGATTAATATTCGCTAGGAAATCTCTTTGGATTAATGTTATCTACTACTGATTATACATCACAGCAAACAGCCGTCCTCAGGTCTGTACATCACCCTGGATATGCATAGTAACACCTAAGATACCCTTCACCAATTGTCAAATCTTCTACTTAAAATCTGGGACACCAACACCTAGGTATGTGTACTTATATAACTGCTACAGGTACAGAGGTACAAAGTCAGGTTTAAATGTCGGCCAAGGTCAAGGACTTCAGCTGAGTTGACGTTCATATCTTATAAAATACATGCTGGTTGTTTCAAATCAAAGTTCAAATAAGATATTCATTGTACTATGAATGTCAAGTGTATACATATGATTGCACTGTAATGTTGGTGTGTGATGCTCTTTTGTATGAGAAATAACAAAGTAACCTAACTATCCAGTAATAAGCCCACGCCTCATGATTAGCCCATCCCTACATTTTCTCACTGTTAAGTAGTCAGTGAAAAAATCATCAAATGCCAATTCATTTTTTTGATATAAAAACCAAAAAACAATCACCTGACAAGTTGGCCTGCCAGGCCTATTACAGGAAAAGTATGGTAATGTAGACATGTAATGATGTCATGTACAGGCAACTACAAGGTGGTGTTCTGTACATGGGAGTACATGGAAAAGTATAATATCACAAGTCATATTCAGTTTTCATTACCATATTGATTAAATGTGAGTTAAAGACCTGTCAAGTTTACCTTTCATTATATTGATTAAATATGAGTCAATATGACTCATTGTGTTCACTTTTCATTATCATTAAATATTATAATTATTGATTAAATGCGAGTCAATATTCATATGAGGAATAAAGGTAGACCAGTTGATTCAATCAATTCTGTAACCATATTTCAAATAAAACATTTACTGAAGTTTCGGCTTTCTTTATGTAGTATTAGACAAATATTTTTTCTTTTAATAGTATTTTAACATAAGTTAACATTAAATAAATCATTGATGTACTTAAGGACAGATAATGTGTATATATGTGTACAATGGCTCTCATTCCGACTTCAGGGTTACATACAAAATTTGTGTTTTTTTAATGTAGGTGTTACATATAATCATGTGATTCATTCCGGTTCTGTGAATATAAATGTCATAGATATATCTCGAGTATATGTTACACACTGGTTACATACAAGTGAACAGATGGGACAGACAGACAGAGAGACATCTGGTTTCTAATTATCTAATGCTATTATCTATCAGAGTCCATTTAGAACCAGTCACCTTTTGTCCACATTGTTTCCATTTTCTACATTTAGTGAATTGACAAATGAATATCCATAAAAAATATTTTTATGATACCAAACATTTTGATCTAACCAGCACAACCTGAGAATTTCATATATTATACAAATGGTCTTCCTTGTTGCCAAAAATATATTATAACGATACAACAGATGAGAATCTATGCTGGCGAAAGTTCTTTTCTTGAAAATATTTTTCAGTTTAAGCAGTGTCAGGAAATACTGAATAAAACTTTGTATGGTTCATATACAACATGACAGATATTCATTTAGTAACTCCTCTATGTTTACATAGAATACATGTACAGCTAGACAGAGTACTGACAAGACGGTATGAGTCAGCCCATGGCACATCATTGCTGTTACTCTCTGCTCAATAATTGTTATTCTGGGACTAGACAGACGAGTCTCATAACAGGATCTTAGTTCTAGAGGAAGGTTTCTCTAGCTAGCACAAATCTAACACATGTATGTGATGGGATGTTTACAGTTGGACAAAGTATGACAAAGGAATTTAGAAACATTGTCTATGGTCAAACATTAAAATACTTTTTTATCTAGATAAAAGAAATTTCATTAGACAAAAAATTCATCCAAACTGGAACATTAATAAGTTTGAGAGTTTTAATGATCTAAACCAAAAAGATGACAAACTTACAAAAACATGTTTGTAATTACAAAGAAAAGGAAAGATTTAGTCAAAATCATTTAATTAATTTGAATTTTTGGAAAGTACTGAAAGCCATTTATAAAAAAAATTAATATAGTGTACTCAGTCAACGTGAACATTAAACCTTAATCAGTATGATTATCATAAAAATACATGTTTAAGACAAATCTCAAAAGTCTTATTGTTATAAAACTTCTATAACAAGAAAAACAGAGACAATGCTATAAAGAAGGACATCTCGACAGCCAGGTAACATATTAATACAGAAAGGTGAGAAGGGAGCCAGAACTATAATTCTCAGGTAAAAACAGGAGAAAAACTCGTTAATTCGAAGAGCAAATCAAGATAAGTAACAGCATGCAATGTGCCAAGGGAGAAGACTCCGTAGCTAGATTTTACCATGCAGTTCTCCATGGTTACATTGTTCCAGCTATATCACATTCAATGTTAACCAGTGTGGATTATAACTATCTGAGCTTTAGTTAGAGCTAATTCCATGTGTACCAAAATACAACCCATATTTTCTTATAGACTTCCACAGCTTAACATCCATTGTAATAACAGGCTTCAGCAGTTTAACAACTTAAATTTCATCTTTCTTTTACAGAGATTATCATGGCATTATGTAAACAAATTTTGAAAATCTGATTTCTTAAAAATAACATACCAATGCTTTAGAAATATTTAACTGTTTACATTTTTCCTATGTAACATATGAATGATCTACACTGATCACTCTGTAAGCTTTACTTCACGTGCTTTAGGCTCATTATTATGGACTTTTGCCCTTTCAGCAGAAAAGAACTTGCTATCAGTAGATACTACGTTTACAATGGATGCTTTTGCTGCTCAGGTCAAACAAGGGGACGTAACTGAGGTTTACATACCTTACCTCTCTGTCTGTTCAAATGAAAATGGAAAAGTTTGTAGGTTGTCAACTAGGCAGAACTAAGAATGAAATGATATCTGAGTGTTCAACATTTATGAAACAAGGAAAATTCCTATCAAAAAGCAAAATTACTAAAAAATAGAAATTATGATAAACTCTGGTTAAATAAATGATCAGAAATAAGGGAACAACAACTGAAAGTTTTGATGAGAAACAAAATGTGTTTGTGGTACGCTATACCGAAGGCTGAGTTTAGCTGATAACCTGACCCTGCAACCTTGTACCATGCTGGTTCAAAGTAGCCATACCCAGGACGAGACTTTCTTAACAGCAGGTACCATGTAAAGTAGGTCACTGTGACTCTCTTTTTGGATGTACTATGCATTGTCCTGAGGATGTACAGTGTGAGGAATGGCATGTGACTAGGTGACTAGATAGACACACGCACATAACACCATACCTATCTAATGCAAAATCAAGCAAATCTTCGTAGCTCACGCCATCAGATGATTTGTAGTTAGCAAGCATGATGGGCGAGATTTCTTCCGAGCCTTCCCTATCTGAAATTCTCTCCCCTGCCAAGATTAAAGACTTGACCCAAAATGGATCATGGCGATTATAAAATCCTAATTGTTCCAAGTTAACGTTATGATTTAGACGGAACTTCACACGAGGGAATGTTGAGGAGCCTGATCGGCACATAGGAGTATTATGATTTTGAGAAGAATTTCTTCTGTGTATCACAGGACTAGAATCATTTTCAAATACACTATCATTTATATTATCATCGTCACTTTCTGAGGAATCATCACTTGTTTCATCTACATTTCGAGAGGGAGTTGGTAAAGGAGGGGCAGGGGGGAGGTCAGAAGGTCGCCCAAGGTCAGAAGGTCGTCCCTGTCGGGCCGGGACGGCAGGAGCCCATGCAACAGAAGAGGAGGAGGAGGTAGAGGTTACACGGACAGCAGCTGCTGATGACGGTGGCAAAACACAAGACGACTGAGCTGATAAGCGACCTTCCAAGTTATTGCCGCAGTCGTCAGCATCGTCCAGCAAGAGCGGGTACTTCCGCTCCCGAGGTTTATTTAAGGTCGCTGATCGTGTCGCGGAGGTCCTAGGTGGCAATGGAAGGGGGTTTTGAATTACGTTCCGGGGACCTTTGCCATCGCCACTTACACTGTAAGACCTAGGTGGGACAGCAGGGGGTCTAGATCTCCCAGGAAACCCTGCCACAGATGACTCCCTACAGGGAGGTACAACATTGTTACACCCATTTACACGACTATTTGGGGCTTCGTCCCCATTTAAAATTGAACTAGAATTAATGACATGCTGCACATGGTTGCTTCCAGAGTCAACACTCATAGAATGGTGTAACTGCGGTTTTCTATATGGTAATTTAGGAGGTCGATTTGGGGGTCGAGCATTACCTTGTCCCGCCCGGCCTCCACGAATTGGAATAGCTCCACCACGTAACATCCGCAAAGGGTTTGTATCCACTTCCTCATCATCACCGTTACTGGTGGGCATGCTCTTACCAGGAATCCCTTGGGGTTCACGTAAATTCCTATTTGGAGCAGGTTCACCCATGTCTCCCACAACACCACGCTGGTGGTCCAGAGAGCGCCGTATACGGCTCTCCCTAGCAAGCTTGTTCATTATTTCCCGAGGGGAAGGTTCACTGAACTCCTCGTCAAACAAGCTACTAGATTTAGAACTAGAGTCCCTTCGTGGAGCCTCATCTATGTGAAGTTCTTTTGTACTTGAGGAGTCAGTGCTATACTCTGTTGAGTCTGGTAAGTCAATCCGTAACACTTCATTATGTCGTTTAGGATCATCTGAGTCACTATAGTCTGAACTACGAACTGATGTCCTTTCCGACACCTCATCCCGATCCTCCTGTATCCGGAGAACATCTGAGCCACCACTGCGAGAACTATCTTTGCCAAAACTCTGGTTTGATGCGACACTATGACTTGACCCAAAACTTTCGTTGAGGTCCCACTGAAGGTCAGCCACAGCAGAGGTCACAGGGATCCGTGGGGGTGGTTGTTGTGGGCGAGGCACGGGATCTACACGATGAATCTCAGGCCTCTGTTTTGGTGAAGGGACGGGTGGCTCATATTTTTTTGGAATTTCAACACGGGGTTTAGGAACAGGACGAGGTGGAGAAGGTTCCACTTTTTCTATCGGATCAAGGTCAACAAATAATTCCACTTCCTCAGTACTGGCTAAAGGTACATTACTTCTAAAGCTATTTGTTACACCCCTCTTTGATTCCCATGATGGCCTGGAATCTGTAGAGGTTTTTGAGGTCTCCCATGATGGCTTAGTCTCAGACGTATTCCGAGAGGTCTCCCATGATGGTCTAGAATCAGAGGTGTTCCGAGATGTTTCCCAGGTTTGCTTAGATTCGGATGACGTTCTTGTTGATTCCCAGGAGTGTTTGGTATCTACCGGCTTTGTTGACTCCCAGGATGGTTTTGACTCTGACCTTGATTCCCATGACGGCCTCGCCTCAGGTACAGGGGCTGGATACTTGGGTCGTTCCTTCCTCTGGTCCTCTTTCACAGACCCACGCACCACTAAAATATTGTATGCTTCCTGAGCCTCTGGAGGAACATCCTCAGTGATCTCCCCTTTGTGAGCAATTTCTTCAGAAAAAGTTCGTTTACGCTCAAGTTTGGGGCTTCTCTTAAAAGAGTTCTTTAACTTGGAGATTAACTTGGGGGATTCTGACCCACTCTCTGAGTCGGAGCGCATCCTCTCAGGTCCTGTGGGTGAGGTGGGGGTCTCTGTTGTCTGGTTTTGTGATGAAACAACAGCACATTCATTAGCCAAAGCAATAGCATCATCCATCATTTTCTCCTCAGAAGCAGACATAGGTTTGACCTTTGCCTGTTTCCTTGGTTCTGGTTTAGGGGGTTCCTTCTTAATCTCCTGCAATAGAAATGCATTGTTAATCCTACATACCTTCTCTGTTAATAATTCTACAGTTCTTGATAAAAATTACGAAAAAAAAAGACACTTCTTGTTAAATTCCCTAAATACTAGATCTCAATGAACTTTCAAGAATTATACCACAATTCTGTTTCAATCTCCTGAATAATACCTCAGTTCTTGTTAAATTTCTGATTTGTACCACTTTTGTAAATTTCCTGAATATGAGCTCTCCTTGAACTCTGAACAAAATACTTTAATTCTTGTTTAATTTTTCGAAGTAGTACCATAGTTCTTGTTTAATTTCCAGGATAGTGCCACAGTTTTTGTTACAACTTCTCTAAACATTATCAAAGATCTCTCTATATTCTGTGAATGATACCAAAGTTCTGCAGAGTTTATTTCATACCTTAGTTTTTATTTCCTTTTTTTTCCCTGTATAAACTAATCTAACAAAGTCACTGATGTAAAAAATATTGTGTATGTAGTTCAGAAGAAGTACCTACCATCTAGGATGTCTCTTATTTCTGATTTCCGATTATGTATTTGTTATATAATATTGTACAGGTATCTCTTAATACAGGAGATACCTACATACTTTTTGTAAATATGCTCATTTTTATGATCCAATAAAGCGAAGTGCAATATATACATATACATACCCGTGTTGCATGTAGGATGTTTGGGAAGGAAGTTGCTACTCAACATGGGTTACTGTTGTACACATCTGGTTGTCATCACAACTTTTTATTTTTAAGAAGACAAGGAAGGGAATATTTGATAGCCAACATGGGTTACTGACATACAAGTTCCTTGTCATGTAATCATAAGCTTTAATTCTTTATAAGATATAGAAGGTAATAAATATGTCATAGCCAATTTGTTACCACGGTTACACATCTGGTTGTCATGGAATTATGATTTTTTACTGATAGAAAGACATGGAATAGAATACTTGAAAACCATCATGGATTGCAGGTGTACTAGTCCTGTTGTCATGTAATCAAATTTTTATTGCTAAGAAGACATGGAAGGGGATATTTCAACAGACAACATGGGTTATTGATGTACACATCTCACTCTGCAGATTAACTACAACTTTTCATAGCTTAAATTGGGATTAAGCAACTGCGTACCTATTCACATCCTTTTAAGGGGAAAGATAGATATGCTATCCAATGTGCTGCCAACTGTTATCATTATCATTACATTCTTAACGGCCTGTCAACACATAAAATGTCATTAGGGCCATCAACCGTTGAACCTTGATATACTCTATATGTAATGTTTTAAAACACCAATGAATGGTTAACATACATATGTTGATACCAACTCTAAGGCAGGGCCTATCGTCCGTGATGGTGATGAGAGTTCTTCTGAAAACTAGTATTTTTAGTAATAATATCATAAATACATTTGGAGATAGAAAAGGCTTCATTGCATGCAGAAAGTTTTGGATGCAAAGAAGCATTTGATTGCACATCATGCACCCTACGTTAATATGTGTACATCCCCTGGCGTGCACGAGTGTAATTGCTGCAAGATCGTGAATCCCGCACCCTAGAAGCAACACGGGTAATCAAGAAAATTTTAGTTCATTCAAGTAGATCGGAAGCAAAAGAGATTTTCCATTTATGTTATAATGTAGTTCTGTTTACGTATATTTTCATTGTTTCAGGAGTTTAATAGTGCATAAAAGTATAGAAAGAAAAAGTTGGTAGGAGGGCATGGCTGTTGAAAACTTAACATGTTGAAGATGAATTACAATGTATCATTGGTAGAACACAAATGAACCTTAAAACCAAATTACAACCACAAAGAAATGTGTAATCTCTGTGAAAAATCTAAGGTGCCTTCAAGCTTCAAAATGTTTTTACACTGAATACACAGGCTGATCAACTAAATTACTTATATCAGATATCAAATGACTTGAGTGGTACATAAGTTTGAATTTCTTAACAGCCTTGCCCTGTTGCCATGGTAACACTTACAGATCTAGGAGGTTGAGCAGGCAGTGGGGGTGGTGTGGTGTGTTTATACTCCTTCACAGACGGTGGAGAGATGGACCCACTACGGTCGTTGAAACTGTTGCGAAATTGAGAGTCAGGTGACGGGGTGGAGTCGGAAGGAGAAGACGCATCCAACTTAGCTTCCTTCTCATTTAAGGCCTTTAACACCTCATCCATAAACGAGCCACCGAAATCAAAGGAAGACTGAAACAAATACAGACATTAACATAAACATAGGAAACATTTTTCCAGCTCGGTATTCATATACCAAAAAGATTTTTCTATATCACAACAAGATAATTCCCTACATTTCAACAGGTCTAAGTTTTCTAGACTTTCGTTTATCTCAACTTAGAAAATTTTGTAATTGGGTGCGATACATGAAATCCTACTCACTACTTATATAGAACTTTTGCAACACCATCATGTTTTTAATATCTAATTCTCTATTACTATTTTCCTATCCCAAAAGTCAGGAATGTGTTCAACATACCCCAATATCGGGCATCTTAAAGTCTGCGAAGAGTGAATCATCCTCTATATCCTGGTAATGAGGGGTGCGGTCTCCATCCATCTCATCCTTGAAGGTGCTATCTATTGACTCTTGGCTTATCCTAAAATTCAACAACAAACACAATTAAATGAGTTATTTACTGTATAGCATTAAAACTACCAAAATACAGTCCTTTTTGAAAAACTTAAAAACAAAAGCGTGCAGTCAATTTATATAACTAATTTTAAGGATTTCAAGCTTGGCTGTAATTGTGTAGAGAAACAGACAATGTAGGTTTGCACTAGAATTAGTAATTGAGAAAAGATGTTGGCCTTGGTAATATATCACATCTGTTGGGTGATGATGTTGTACAAGTAGATTTCAATTTATCACTTGGATGAAGGAAGTGTTGATAAAAAATACATCTCTGTGCAACAATATCCGGCAATGCATTCTGAAGTTACTTCCCCTTTAATTTGTGAATGTTCAAGATGTCTATATTGTGGTTTCAAATTTCAAATCCACTTCTACAAGTACAGAAATTCAAAGTCCATTTACCACTCCACAGCACTTACACCATCATGAGATCAACCACTGGTGGATGTGCACGAGTCGAAAGTTGTCATTAATTATGTAATACTCACCAAGAGTGTCCAAGGCCATTTGTGCCGACGCCATTAGTACCGCCGTTCAGTGACAGACCTGCATGATCGCCGTCTGGACTATGTCGGTGAAGGCTGAAGGACGATAGCCTATCACCTATAACAGGAGAATTTGCACCTGTATAATTCAATGGGAAACACACTTTGCAAATATTTAACAATTCTTTGAAATGGTATCAAATGAAATTTCAAGTAAATGATAAATGTTTTGTTGATTTATCTACCAACCATTTCAGATTTTCTGTTACTTAATGAAAGAAGCTGGTAAAATATCTAGGAAAATGTTAGGTATAAATATAATGCAAAATCACATTTTTTCATGAGACTTTATTTTGGTGGTTTTTTAAAAAAAATATTACTTCATGGATACTTGATTTTGTGGATAAATAGCACTCAATAAATCTACTTCTACATATACTTATTTTTGATAAATAAATCTGTGCATTAAGAATACCTCCATATTAAATATTATAAATCTCCCACATAAATCAATTATTATACCACAATTATTTTACAGTAGTTCTTATCATCATTGGAAAACTATATTCCCAAGAAGTTAACAAAACAGGTTAAACAGGTATAATGTAATAAAAGGATAGTTTGTAACTTAGGTTCCAGGTAATCAATTAAGATATAATATAACCACTTTACAACTACCATCATTTTTGTAAAAGAGTAAATTAATATGAACTACAAATGTTTAGAAAAATACTTTTATACAATTATAGCCTTTTGATGAGGTTGATAATGGTTTTATTAACCTAAGAATAATATAAAAAATAATCATTTAATTAACATGAAGATGAATTATAATCAGGACTCAAGTTTGCTGTTTTACTCACCTGCACTACCACTGCCAACATTCACCGGCAGTTTATCATAGTTGTCGCCTATAAATGACACATCCCCGAACACCGCACCATCATAACCAATATGACCCGTGTGACGTAAGTCATTTTTTGGACCACTTATCATCTCTGCTCGTAATTTTCTACTCGAATTCCGCTTTGATTCTGGAACAATATTACAAATTTTAAAGTTCATGTCAATTTTAAAGTTCATGTCAATAGCATGCTTAAAAAGGAAGGAGGGCAAATTATGCATATTACACAGGTTTTTTATGGTATGTAAACCAGAAAATTGTCACTTCATCTGGTTTTATATTCATGTACTATTACAGCATTCAATATATCTTTTTCTGTGATAAATGTTTCAACTACTTCAGCCATACAGAGTGATTCAAATACCTAAACTGAAACAAAGAGGCCTATAGGGACTGTTATAATTACCAGGAAACATGAACAGTTTAGTAGAAATGTTTGTCTGTGTAAGTTATGGTAACCTGATCAAATTTCATTTTTTTTTTCATTCACAAAGCCATATATATCATCGTCTGGATGGAAATGGTTGAAATCAATTATTTTGTAAACATTGATAGTTTACATTCTAGCAAGATGCAGACAGGTCACATGACCTGTATAATTTTAAAAATTAACTTGTCTGTTGCACCTTTGCACACATTAATGCAATTCAATCAAATCAGTTTTACATTTCTTAACCCCAACACAACATTGAACCAACTTTGGGCTTCATGTTTTATCAAAATATATCTTTGCACGTAAATGGATTATTCGGGCAAATCTGAGAGGCTGATACACAATGATATCATCGTAGACAAAACAATAGTGCCTACCTTTTCTGGAGATAGAAGGCTTAGGCAGTGACGTGATGGGACTATCAGGTTTTGTCTCTGCTATTGGCGTACAATTCACAGGATCAAAGAAGCCAGCTTTACCACTATTTAAAACTCCCCGGCACAGGCCAAAGGAAGGTGCATTGGCTGGGCTAAAAAAGAAGAAAATACTTATCAGATGTACACATTTACATGCATGAAGAAAAGACAATGTCAGATCAATTTTATAGATTTTTTTCACATTTGTACATAGCAAATTTTGTCAAAAAAAAAAGGGGGAGGTTGGATGAGGAAATGATGATTTTGTTTGTGTACAGTAATCTTACCTCTTATCAATAACATAGATTATATCAGAAGACTTGTAGTAGAGGAAGTCCCTTGGTACAGTGACTTCTGGGAAATCTTTCAAGGCTTTCATCTGGACTGGTCGCATCTAAAACAGTAATTAATTACCATTAGTGACAAAATAACTGAACTTATAGTCATCTTTTGAAACTTTACTTTAAACATTTTTGTAAGCCTGTAATTAAGTTATATCTGTTGTCATTTTTGTTTTTTGGAAAGTGTAAGGACAAATCATTTGTGTTTCAGATATTTCAGTTTAATTAAAAGTTCAGCAGAGAATACTTACAAATGGTAACTGAGTAAAAATATCATTGAACGTCGGCCGCTTGGCGGTATCATGGTCCCAACATTTACACATAAGGTCATAGTATTCCTTTGGACAGAGGTCAGGTCGCTCAAGTCGTTGACCATTTGGTGTGTCAATGGCTTCCAGGATCTAAGAGGACAACAATAAAACAATCAAGTCAAGGGGAAAGGGAAGTGATGGATTATGTCAAGGGGACATAACTAATGAGAAAAGGAAATAACGATAATGTCAAGGGGTGATTATCAGGGAGGACAGGAAGTAATGATATAGTCAAGGGGAGTAAATCATGGAAAAGAAAAAGTGACAAAGAATTCAAGAGAGATAGACTTGGTAACAGGTTTTCTGTATCTGTGACTCTTCCTATTGCTTGGAGTTTGTTTTGTGTTCTAATGACAAGGAGACAATGATGAAATGATAAAATTAAAAGGAGAAAATCACAGATGATGACAAATCTAAGGGAGATAATCACGGTAAAAACAAACAAGAAAAACATAACTACATATCAAACCTTAAGGAGGAAATATATGATATTCCTTATTTTAACTGAACTTTTCTCAGCTGTTGTAAACATAATTAACTGAATGCAGATTAGATGAAGTCACAATAAATATTTCTTTATAGGTAAAAATCCCTCCATGATGATGCAAGTGAGCTCACGTTTCACATGTTTGAATGCATTTTGAATCTGTAAGTTTACCTGTTGACCAGTCATACTAGCCCAGGGCTGAAGGCCATAACTGAACAGTTCCCACATTGTCACACCAAATGCCCAAACATCACTGGCTGATGTAAACTTGAGATAATTGATACACTCTGGAGCACACCTGTAAAAGAATTATATGAATAGATTTAATCATCAATAAACCAGGAGAAAAACATATTTGATTATTGAAAGAAATTTTAATTATCACTGAAACATATGTGTTTAATTGGGGTATCAGAAACTCACCATGTTATAGATGGTGTTTAATTGGAGTATCAGAAACTCACCATGTTATAGATGGTGTATAGTTGGAGTATCAGAAACTCACCATGTTATAGATGGTGTATAGTTGGAGTATCAGAAACTCACCATGTTATAGGTAGTGTTTAGTTTGAGTATCAGAAACTCACCATGTTATAGGTGGTGTATAGTTGAAGTATCAGAAACTCTCCATGTTATAGGTAGTGTTTAATTGGGGTATCAGAAACTCACCATGTTATAGATGGTGTTTAATTGGAGTATCAGAAACTCACCATGTTATAGATGGTGTATAGTTGGAGTATCAGAAACTCACCATGTTATAGGTGGTGTATAGTTGGAGTATCAGAAACTCACCATGTTATAGGTAGTGTTTAGTTTGAGTATCAGAAACTCACCATGTTATAGGTGGTGTATAGTTGAAGTATCAGAAACTCTCCATGTTATAGGTAGTGTTTAGTTGGAGTATCAGAAACTCTCCATGTTATAGGTGGTGTATAGTTGGAGTATCAGAAACTCACCATGTTATAGGTGGTGTATAGTTGGAGTATCAGAAACTCACCATGTTATAGGTGGTGTATAGTTGGAGTATCAGAAACTCTCCATGTTATAGGTAGTGTTTAGTTGGAGTATCAGAAACTCTCCATGTTATAGGTGGTGTATAATTTGAGTATCAGAAACTCATGATGTTATAGGTGGTGTATAGTTGGAGTATCAGAAACTCACCATGTTATAGGTAGTGTTTAGTTTGAGTATCAGAAACTCACCATGTTATTGGTGGTGTATAGTTGGAGTATCAGAAACTCACCATGTTATAGGTAGTGTATAGTTGGGGAATCAGAAACTCTCCATGTTATAGATGGTGTATAGTTGGAGTATCAGAAACTCACCATGTTATAGGTAGTGTTTGGTTTGAGTATCAGAAACTCACCATGTTATAGATGGTGTTTAGTTGGAGTATCAGAAACTCACCATGTTATAGGTAGTGTTTAGTTGGAGTATCAGAAACTCACCATGCTATAGGTAGTGTGGTGTATAATTTGAGTATCAGAAACTCACCATGTTATAGATGCTGTATAATTTGAGTATCAGGAACTCACTATGTTATAGATGGTGTATAGTTGGAGTATCAGAAACTCACATGTTATAGATGTTGTATAGTTGGAGTATCAGAAACTCACCATGCTATAGGTAGTTTAAGGTTAATGCTGAAGTTGCTCTGGTAGTAATCCTTGCCCACACCTAGTGCTCGCGACAAACCAAAATCACTGATTTTGACCTAAAAAAGAAGTAAAAATAAATGTATTATGTAGTTATCTACACTAATCACATCTAATACTTTTATCATTAACTTTATAAATATGAAAAGTAAGGAGAAATATCAGAATTTCGATTTTGCTTCACATGATATCATGTTTATGAAACAAACTATCAGAAGTCTATATTACTTTATGTGTAGATTATGATAACAAACATAATCTGTATGTTGCATGAATTTTACATGAAATGATAAGTTAAGAGAGACATTTGAATGTTTGGAGAATGGAGATCTATAAAATGTCATTACTGAAAATATTTGTGAGAATTTTTGCTTCGTAAAATCATTCAAATTGTAATAGACAATATAATCATACATATTTCAGCGGTACCCTTGGTGAATTTCATGCTGCAAGTATTGCTCTTAAACATGATTGTACTAACTAAAGCGTTGATATGCTGTGACCTGCAGTCATTTTTGTGGATGTGCAAATTATCATTTCGCTGATATGCCAAAAAGTGATTATGCGGTAAAATCTATTGTGCCAAATTAAATATGTTCACAGTATACTAGTCAGACTTGTTAACTCTTGTTTGATATGGAGGAAAAGTACATTTTGAAGGATCAAGTCTTGATATATAGTTCATATTTAGAAACCAACCTCACTATTTATAGTTATTTTCTTCTGAAGAAAAAGGTATTTTTTGACAAATTAGGTTCTATGTATGATAATATTCAGTATAATTCCCATAACTTCTGGTGTTATACATCATCCTTATATAGGAGTAAGACAACAGACAACTAAGTCTCTAAAATCAACAATATTCTTAACTAGTGCTACTATATTTTGATACCTTATTTTTACTGAAGACCAGGATATTTCGGACGGCTAAGTCTCTATGTATTAATCGCTTATTCTCCAAGTAGGTCATGCCATCACATATCTGCTGGGCAAAGTCACAGAGACGAGGAAGGGGAAAGTCCAGTCGCAAGGCCTGTTCCTTCAGACACTCTAGCAATGACCGCATGGGAGCTAACTCTGTCACCTACAAACATAGCATCAGTTATGAGTGAGTGATGATACACATAGGTATAGAAAGAGATGGGAGTAAACTTGGGCACTTAAATGTGGTGGTTATTTCATCACAGCTATAGCTATATGATTGTGAGTTTCCTCGCATGGTAAGTTAGGAAAAGTAATTTCGAGCTGTTATGCAATAGTTGGAAAATCAATGAAATAGCTTAATGATTATGATGACAATATCCACACAACAGTTAATGTCATGACACAGTATCCACACAACTGTTGATGTCATGACAAAGTATCCACACAACAGTTAACGTCATGACACAGAATCTACACAACAGTTAACGTCATGACACAGTATCCACACAACAGTTAACGTCATGACACAGTATCCACACAACAGTTAACGTCATGACACAGTATCCACACAACAGTTAACGTCATGACACAGTATCAACAAAACAGTTAACATCATGACACAGTATCCACACAACAGTTGCTGTCATGACACAGTATCCACACAACAGTTGATGTCATGACACAGTACCCACACAACAGTTAACGTCATGACACAGTATCCACACAACAGTTAACGTCATGACACAGAATCTACACAACAGTTGCTGTCATGACACAGAATCTACACAACAGTTGATGTCATGACACAGTATCCACACAACAGTTGCTGTCATGACACAGAATCTACACAACAGTTGCTGTCATGACAAAGTATCCACACAACAGTTGATGTCATGACACAGTATCCACACAACAGTTGCTGTCATGACACAGTATCCACACAACAGTTAACGTCATGACACAGAATATACACAACAGTTAACAACATGACACAGTACCCACACAAAAGTTGATGTCATGACACAGTATCCACACAACAGTTAATGTCATGACACAGTATCCACACAACAGTTAATGTCATGACACAGTATCCACACAACAGTTAATGTCATGACACAGTATCCACACAACAGTTGATGTCATGACACAGTATCCACACAACAGTTGCTGTCATGACACAGTATCCACACAACAGTTAACGTCATGACACAGAATCTACACAACAGTTAACGACATGACACAGTATCCACACAACAGTTAACGTCATGACACAGTACCCACACAAAAGTTGATGTCATGACACAGTATCCACACAACAGTTAATGTCATGACACAGTATCCACACAACAGTTAATGTCATGACACAGTATCCACACAACAGTTAATGTCATGACACAGTATCCACACAACAGTTAACGTCATGACACAGTATCCACACAACAGTTGATGTCATGACAAAGTATCCACACAACAGTTGCTGTCATGACACAGTATCCACACAACAGTTGCTGTCATGACACAGTATCCACACAACAGTTAATGTCATGACACAGTATCCACACAACAGTTAACGTCATGACACAGTATCCACACAACAGTTGCTGTCATGACAAAGTATCCACACAACAGTTGCTGTCCTGACATAGTATCCACACAATAACTGATGTCATATGACACAATATCCACAAACAAGTTGTGGTTGTAAGACAGTATCCATACAAGCAAGGTCGTATGTTAAGAGTATCCACACAACAGTTGACATCATATGACAAAGTATTCACAAAAAATTTGATGTCATACGACACAGCATCTACACATGTTAAGGTCATAAGACAACAGCATCCTTGCAACAGTGGACAGCAATTTGAGGGAAAACAATTATATCTTACCTTTTTTTTTAAAAAAGCAAAATGATATACATGAACAAAACAGAGACTTAATCACAGTCATAGTTGAAAATGATTAATAAATTTCATCAGAACGTTGTCACAGTCATAGTTAAAATGATGATAAGTTTACAGGAACTTTATCAGTTTAAATAAGATGATAAAATTTTTTACCAGCATCATGGTGTTTTCTTTGTCAAGAACGACTCCAAACATGCGGACAATATTTTCATGGTCAATTGTCTGCATAATACCCGCTTCCTTGAGGAACTCTGTGGTTCCATTTTGTAGTCGCTCCTTGCTCAGGCATTTAATGGCAACTTGGACCTGAAAATTGTATCAATAATAAAGAACTATAACAGTACACAGAGAATCATCCATGTAGTGTAAAACCATACAATGTAATTAAGAAATTCAATTTTATATATAGTAGATAATATGAGCCTTTTTTTAATTCAAATACAAAATGAAATCTAAAAATTAAATTTGAATCTGAGGACACTTCACAACTTACAGTACAAAAGGTAATACAACAGCATAATAAATTGGAAAACATAGCAGATACCTTAGTTTAAAGTTGACTAAAAAATTTCTTATTTCCCTGACACAAATTGAACAAAGTAAAATTCATTTATTGCAGTTAAATAAGCAAAAAATCATTCTAATTGAATGTACCAGCAGTGTTTTGTGATAAAGGGACACCTGAGAACTAGTTTGTGTAAAAATGATGAATTATGCACAAAATGTTGTCGGAGAAAAGTCGAACTTGTTCAGAATTTTAGACCTTGTGCATCTGTCAGAATTTTTTATACATTAAAAATCTGTCAGATGTTATTACTTTCTTCCTTTGTATAAGTTGAGAAGACGACATGTCAAGACTTTTAATATCAATTTGTGAATCTAAAGGGTAATATTCCTACGGAAATTTGTGAATCTGTTATGAAATAGGAATTGAGAACCTCACAAAGGATAATATCAAGGTACTTTTTTGCTTTGTTCATTCACAATTTTCAAGTTCATTCTACTTTTGTTCGGCAATATATTTGTTGGACCAAAACAACATTATGGTAGAGAGCTTTGACATATTTTACATACCTATGCCATGCAAGACGGTACTAGTTACTGTATTTATCATCAAATAAGTCCCATCCCCTAGGGTAAAATTTTATTATTTGAGGTTTGGGGAGGGCGTGGATGTGAACTACTTTTAGGTTACTTTTTTTTAAATTGATGATTTGATGAAAATGAAAAAGGGGGCTTTTTATAGAACGTTTTTTTTTTATAAATATGGTTACATATTGATATTGAAGAGAGTCAGCTTTATTAAATCCATAAATTTTCAATTCTTTTACAAAGTAACTGGTGCTTACTTATCAAATTACTTCTCTCGTATGAAATTATCTGTACTTTTCAGGAACATTCATTTATCTTAAGGGATTTATCACCAAATTAATGCTTGAAAAATAAGCCTAGGCCAGTAAACAACACAGGGGGTTATCAACCCAAAAATACCTCTTAAGAATTCCTAATCTACAGGACTTAAACCCAAAACATATAGAATGTTCTAAAACCATCTAGAAGGTTAGAACTGGAAAACATAAGGGTAAACAGCAGGTTCTGTGACAGACAAGTCTGTCTTGTAAGAGTTCTCCTTGAGAGACAACCTGTCTTCAAATCTTTAACCTTCAGTCAGGTTTAGAATAATTATCTGCTTCAGGAAATCTAATTTTATTTATCATATTACACAGTTATTTCATATTCTACGTATTATGTATCATAGTTCATAAAGGAAATGTCAATGAAATAAACACTACATTTCCTTGTTGAAAAATAGGTCAATCTTAATTGATCATCAAATTGTAATATAACATACAGTTATACACTGCTGCACACACTCAAGTCTGTAAATTGTAACCATTGTAGAATGTCTCATATCCTGTACAATTGCTAATTTATTTTTTTGTGTGATTTTTTATTTTTACATGAATTTCAACTCTTGTGGGTTTGACAATATACTATTTATACACAGAATTAAGTGCCAATGTAATAGCAAATTTCCCGAAAAACACAAAATCACATGATTCTGCAAATATACATTTTATATAAGATTTACAGTCTAGTAATCTAAATTAGTGATAGGTTGTAGAATCTGATCGGGAGAGGAAATGAAAAAGAAGATTGTGTTCATCAAAGAGAAGATTGTGTTCATCAAAGAAAAGATTCTGTTCATCAAAGACAAGATTCTGTTCATCAAAGACAAGATTCTGTTTATCAAAAAACCAAGTTTTTATGCAAATATTCATGAAAATATTTTGCTCTTTAAATCTCAAAGTATGGACCTTTTGACTCCACTTTACATCACAGTTAAGATGAAATTCTGTGATGTTACGAGATTGTTCTATTTTTAATGAAACAACAGAATCCTGCAGATAATCACAGCTCTAGGGATGGCATTAAACGTGTTATGCATGTAATACTAGAAACTGCAAAACCGTCAAATGCCGAATTGATTTGGTACTTGCGGGAAAAATTTGCAGCATGTTCTGACTTTTACCAGTTCTGACTTTTTGACATTTTAGTTTGAAGTTAAAAACAAACATTTTCATTACTGAAGGGCAAATTTAACACTGAGTGAAAGTTATGGGTAAGCCATTTCACGAACATATCTAACTGTGCTAACTGCAGTTTCTGTATTTTACATTATTAAATTACATTTATTGATATTGTGCTAAAATTTGATTGCACCAAAATAAGTGTGCTTACAGTAAAGGACAGCCAGTATTATGTATAATTTACAAAGTCATCTCAAAATTTAGAATTCCTGAATATGTCCTTGTATTACAAATCTTCTACATTTTTATTTGATAAGGTTGTTGTTGATTGGACCCAGAAGGAAAAACAGTAATCAAAAGGCTCACTTTTTCACCAGTCTCTGTTGTCCAAACTCCTTGTTGTACAACACCAAACTCCCCTTCTCCAAGCGTTTTGTTGATCAGGATGGAGTCTGCAGGGATGATCTGTTTACTGGGGGGTCGCATGTATGAGGATAGCCTTGATGAAGACCTATTTGCTCTATTCTCCGGTGGAGATGGACTAAGTGATCTTCCGAGTCCATCACTACCAGTCTTGGACAGGATTGCCTGGGAGGAAAAAAAATCAACATTTTTAATTATCATTAATAAAGCCAATAAGATCAGAAGCAATAGGGAAAGATATACCCTTCACAACACAATTAAATACACCTAATCCACTAAGAGAATTACATTATTATAAAAAATACTTGATAATGTGTTCTTAATGTCACTAAGTGGTGAAAGATGAATAAAACAATAATATCACTGGAGAATTTCAAAAGGCTAAGCTAAAGGGTGTACCCATAATATCTTGCACTTTCTGAAGAATGGCAGAATGTACTAAACCCAAACACAGGTAAGTAAGCAAACTAATTGACACTTAAATCTTTACAAATTATGCAGAAATTATATTAATAGCAACATGCATAATTATCAGGAAATAATTATCTGCTGGCCAAGGCAGCTCACCATTTTATACTAATGCAAGTTGATTATTTCTAACCATGCACTCTGGCAATGACACAGAGATTGCATTACTCATCAGTACACATGTACCCAACATATTATATCTTCCTTATTCTGTCTCTAAGGCAACAAGATTCAACAAAGTTCAATAAATACCCATAGATAGGTAACCAGACTGTCTTTCATTGAGAGGTTTCCACAAAGTTCCATAAATACCCATAGAGAGGTAACCAGACTCTCCCTCCCTAAAGAGGTTTCCACAAAGATCTATTCATACCCATATATAGGTAGCCACTGTCCCTCCTTAAGTGGTTTCCACAAAGATTTATTAATACCTGTATATTTGTAAACCAGATCGTCCCTCCTTAAGAGGTTTCTACAAAAACCCATTAGTGTCCATAGATAGGTAACCAGACTTTCCTTCCTTAGATAGGTTTCTATGATGTTTATACCCATAGATAGGTAACCAGACTTTCCTTCCTTAGATAGGTTTCTATGATGTTTATACCCATAGAGAGGTAACCAGACTTTCCTTCCTTAGATAGGTTTCTACAATGTTTATACCCATAGATATGTAAACAGATTAAAGTGAGCCAAGGTTCTCAAATTTTGGTTTTGTCATTGTTATGAAAATTTGAATTAAAATTCTTTGTATTAAATGGTTATAACTCTGAAAATAATTAGTTGGCCATAACAAAACCAAAATCTGGCCTGTATGTTGTTAATATACAACTACAAACCAAGTACTTCTATATCCATTGAAGATTGTAAACAAAGAAGGAAACTCAAAGATGGTCGAAGGTAATGCTATTTGTCCCAAAGAAATGGTGTGGGCATAAAAACAGAATCCTCAGAATCACCAACCCTTATGTAACGTCAAACAGGCACAAATAAAAATGAGTGTAATATGCTTCCCAAACATGTGAAGTTTCTTAAAGACACCATATTATTTTTACTGAAGGGCAATCAGATATTTAGTTTTTATATTTCATACTGTTACGTGAAAATTCTATAAAGAAGACAGAAAAAATGAAGACATGTACCCACAAAAATGGCAGATATGTTTGTCTAGGATAACTTAAGCCTTCTCAAATAACTCTATCAACAGATGACTAAGTATGAATACATCAATATTTGTCAGTGTACCAGAGCCCATCCAACAGTAGGAGGCTACAGTTTTGTTCAGTAGTATATTGTATCAGAACATGATAGCCTCATCTCCTCAGCAGATGGCCGCCATTTGATATATTGCAGTCTGACACCATTTTGTTTATCGTTTTTGCCATTCTTTTCAAAATAATGGACATGTTAAATGAATCTTCCATGAGGACATGTAAAAGTGATATTTTATCTCTACCGGAGAGTCAAGAATCACATTCCTGATCTACCATAAAACACCTGACTGAGTAAACCAGCTGTGGTGTGTGTTTCAAGCAACCTTTTAAGTCTTTATTTTAAGTCCCAGTCTTCTCAATGGTTCATTTTTTCTTGTAATTGCCACTGTAGTTTTTTCACTTCAATTTATTTTGAAGGTATCAAAATCTAGTTTACACATTCTATTTGATCCTTGAAAATAGCAAAAACCGAGTCCATCAAAAATGACAACTTTCACAGAATACAGTCCCTAATTAGAGGAGGAATTAATTGTTCTCTTTATAAATTCTTATCAATCAAGTCCAAATAAGGCAAATAATCAATTTTGAAAAAAATTGTGGTCACGGTTGATTGCAAAACTTTGCGTTCAGTTGGTTTTACTCAAAGTTAAAGGATGGTTTGGTTAATTTCAAATCTAACACCATTAGTTATGGGAATGACCACAATTTACGAGTCAAACAGCATGAACTGAAGGATAATTTGAGGAAAATTGTTGTTCCAATCACTGTTCAAGGTTACTTCCAGCTCCCGCAAGTTTGATAGCTGATTTTGACGTTTTCTCATGTGTCGCCAAAGAATATTCTTAAGATGCTCTGTTGGTGACAAATCTTAAGTGATTTCTACGGTCAATCTAAATTCTAGATGTTATCATGCTGCAGAAAAGTTCTGCTGGACCAAAGACTGTGAACTTGGGTCCAATCATTGCAATTATTACGGTGATGTCACAACATAGGACTAGTGCAAGGATGCCATACTTGAATTCAACCTGTTGTGGACTGTTTGGTTCTAACATGATGCCCAAACAGTGTACATGTTGTCTCTACAGCACTTACAAATCAATGGCAAAAGTATATGATGGTCATTCCTTGCAGTTAATTTGCAAGATGGCCGCTTCAGGGACGACTACATCGGATGCTGACTCAGTTTGATTGAAACAACTTAAAAACGGATAAACTGTCGTAACACTGTAACCAAAATGCTGTGCCTCTCGACAAATGTGGCTCTCTCTGGATCAAGTCAATGGTATTGATCAATAGTAAGATTTGGTATATACCAAGTCCCGAGAATCTAAGAAACTGATGTCAGGTTGACTTATAATGACATTCAGGCTAGTTGTCGAAAACCTTGTGGAGACCTGTTCATATAAACTTTTATACTTAAGTTATTTAGTAATCTTCTTTGATTTTGTGATGTAAAACAATTCCCATTTTCATACATGGAAAAAAAATCCATCATTTTCTTTCCATTAGTGTCCAGGTGTTGGCTAAGAAACATGCTAACATTTCTTTCTGTTGAGGATATAACTATCTCGATGCTTTCTGGGTCAAAAGCAAGGCTTCATACAGGTATCTCCCTTATACAATAGTCAGAATATTAAGGAGAGATCAGTGATTTTTGGGTCTATTTGAGCACAGGACTCATTATTTTTCTGTGGGACTCATCAAAATTATGGCAACTTATTCTATCTCTTAGTAATGGAACTCATTCTGAACTCACTTGGAAAATTCCTAAAAAATTGCTAGATTAGACACATCATTATAAGACATAGAATAGTTCTCTAATGTAGTGTATGTAAGCTTACAATTTACTCTTATGTTGTTAGAATGTGCAAATATGGAAATAGGGTTATAAAATGAAAGGAACTATGTCAACAGGATAGATTTAAATTCCAGTCACATTTTCCCCATTTTTCTAAATTCTAACTTATCATCCTAGAATGTAGTGGAAAGAAATCTTTCTATAGTTAAAATGATATAATGCAGTCATAATGTTCGACTGAGTGACATCAAATGTATTCACAATATGATGAACATCTTTAATGAAAGTTTGCATAGAAAACAAACATTGTAAAGAATTTAAATAGCCTAAAAAAGTATATCACAGAGCCACTTACTTCAGTATACCTGATAGTTGAATTATAAAGCAATATATAAATACGAGATTTTTTCTTGCAACTAACAAAGTCTAACAAGTTCTTCATTCAAAATTCTGTAAAACCAAAGGGAAGCAAGTTTGATGATATAACAATGTGAAGGTCTGTGTTGTATTTATATGTGATAGTGACAATGTGAAGGTCTGTGTGGTATTTAGGTCTGTGTGGTATTTATATGTGATAGTGACAATGTGAAGGTCTGTGTGATATTTATATGTGATAGCGACAATGTGAAGGTCTGTGTGGTATTTATATGTGATAGTGACAATGTGAAGGTCTGTGTGGTATTTATATGTGATAGTGACAATGTGAAGGTCTGTGTGGTATTTATATGTGATAGTGACAATGTAAAGGCCTGTGTGGTATTTATATGTGATAGTGACAATGTGAAGGTCTGTGTGGTATTTATATGCGATAGTGACAATGTGAAGGTGTGTGTGGTATTTATATGTGATAGTGACAATGTGAAGGTCTGTGTGGTATTTATATGTGATAGTGACAATGTGAAGGTCTGTGTGGTATTTATATGTGATAGTGACAATGTGAAGGTCTGTGTGGTATTTATATGTGATAGTGACAATGTGAAGGTCTGTGTGATATTTATATGTGATAGTGACAATGTGAAGGTCTGTGTGGTATCTATATGTGATAGTGACAATGTGAAGGTCTGTGTGGTATTTATATGTGACAATGTAAAGGCCTGTGTGGTATTTATATGTGATAGTGACAATGTGAAGGTCTGTGTGGTATTTATATGTGATAGTGACAATGTGAAGGCCTGTGTGGTATTTATATGTGATAGTGACAATGTGAAGGTCTGTGTGGTATTTATATGTGATAGTGACAATGTGAAGGTCCGTGTGGTATTTATATGTGATAGTGACAATGTAAAGGCCTGTGTGGTATTTATATGTGATAGTGACAATGTGAAGGTGTGTGTGGTATTTATATGTAATAATGACAGTGTGAAGGTCTGTGTGGTATTTATATGTGATAGTGACAATGTAAAGGCCTGTGTGGTATTTATATGTGATAGTGACAATGTGAAGGTGTGTGTGGTATTTATATGTAATAATGACAGTGTGAGTGACCCTGTGTGGTATTTATATGTGATAGTGACAATGTGAAGGTGTGTGTGGTATTTATATGTAATAATGACAGTGTGACGGTCTGTGTGATATTTATATGTGTTGAGGTCAGCCGTGTTATATTCCACTCTTAACAATTTCACAAACATTAAATCATAGCAGGAAACTCAATCATAATAATCTGACAAACACAAAACAATCAAGTAGTCATTAATTAAGATACAAATTAATGTTAATTCATGAAAAGTTAAACAAAGAATTAAGTATAATAAAGATTTACCCGAGCTCGTGCTGCGATACCTCTCATCCTGACGGACACATATATCCTTTGTTAGCGTAGAGAGTGGTACACATATACAGTAAATCCCAAAGGAGGGTGTGCATATACTTCCCCACACCGTAAACAATCCACACTGAACATGTATTATACCGGGGCCAAGGTATTTATATTTCTGGGTTTAATCAGGCAATCATTCACAAAACCTGAGAAGACAACATCCGGTAACATCCCATATACAAACAAGAACACTGTGACTTGTCATGAACTATTTCAGTGTAAGACGATCACATGTACTGTAGTGCACACACTTACAACTATACAGAAATCATTTTCCACAAACAATTAAGGTAATTTTTGAGGGTGTGCCGTGATTTAAAATGATCCACGTCATGTTATTGTGACTGAGCACTGGAGAAATGGTCGACTGAACAGATTACACAAACAGGACCAGGTATTATTTTGGCACCACAGACTACATCAGAAATCTGTTTAAATTCCTTCCAACTGATGACATGTATGAGAGTATAAATCCTTTGTCAACACTGGAATATCTCTCTGAAATATATATTGCCTTACAGTTGAAAACAGCTCTAAACCTACATCAATATGTGCCCGGATAGCACAACAGTGTCCTCAAAAATCAATGAAATGATTTTCAGGAGTGGCTATGAGTAAAAGCATGCAGCGCTGCTACACGTGACACAGAGTTTAGCTAAGCAGCGTACATCCCACACAGCTACAGAAGATCAGTACACACGGAGTAGTCATACAGGGACACAATACCACAATACTACCCTGTATGTCAGACACTGACGCTACCCTGTGTTTTAAACACCAGGCTACTCCGTACGTCTGCAGTTAGGAGATATTGCTTTATATCTTTATACATCCTAATATCAAGTGAATGTGTCAATACTGTTATCCACCATTACACTGAGCTAATGACAACACAGACAGGTAAAAAGTGACCTTTCACGGGTCAATCCATTGGAGCATTAACAAACAGGTATATATCTCAGGTACCCATTATTAAAAGGGATTTTGGTTTCACTTCGACTTAAAATGACTAAGACAGACTACAAAACAAACATTTTACCTTTACATTTCATATTTAAATTACTTAAATGAAATCTATAAAGTTCATGAAGTACATTAATATACCATTAGCTGTCCCTGAGAGGGAGCGGATCATTAAAGGTCATTACTTCCCCCAGGCATATTTTGATGGCAATCTATCATCACTTTCAAGTGCTCATATATACCTACCTAAATAAACTGGCACGTAAGTTGATAATAAATCCAATTTAGACCATATCTATCATTTAGAATTCATATTTAAAAGTGAAACTAAAAGTAAGTCAAAGTTATAGATTTTAAAAGACAGTGTAAAACCTATTCCAAAAGTCCACAACCACCTGCTGCTTAACTTTAAAAACAAAAATAAAATGTCGTAATTTTAGAGACTGAATGTAAGGCAGGTATATGTCATGTATTAATCGAGTTCAAACCATACCTATCCCATATAACCTGAGTAATAATTTAAGACCAATCCTCCTGTTTAAAGTTAAAAAATAAGGTTTTCTCTTCTGAACATTATTTAAAAGTATCAACTTGGGGGGGGGGGGAGGAGGGGGAGGGAGAGATAGAACTCCTCAAAAATAAAATAACTGTCATTACTGTAAGGAAATTAAGGTTTTATTGAAGATAATAGTAGGTAGACACGTGCGTTGTTAGTGTCTGTTAAGGTATATAGAAGATATTTGTGTATGAATTCTTGTTGATACTAGAATAACATGATCAGCTAAGCGATGTAAGTTACAATATATTATTGATGTACTTTTACTTCACAATATCATTAGCATAATAATGTTTGTTAGACAATTACTTGTACTATCTTTACTTAGGATCACAGTAAACTATAGCTAATGTTCATGTTCTTCGCATACATTAGCTCTGTTTTTATGTTAGCATAATTTACCCTGATGTTCTTTGCTACAGGAACATACTTTACCATCCCTACAACTCTTAGTTCTGACACTTCAAACCACAATTACCTCAACAAAACACGGAGAGGATTAATATTACAACACATTTAATAGGCCGAGGGAACCACGATTAAAATTACAGCACATATACGCCTGTCCCATTGTAGTGCAGACTACAACATCTGTCGCTCTTACAATCTCAAAGCATTTTACCATACAATAAAAAACTTCTGATCGTACAAAATGGCTGTTGAAATCTTGATAAAATGTGTAATCTTGATCAAATCTTTGTCAACAGTAAATAAATCACACCGTAGATCAAAGGATCTCATTGGCTGTAGTGGTGCATTATGTTGGCTTTTAAATAGGTCGCTGTGATATGGATCAGTCTGTGGATGTATAAGTAAGATAGATTTTACTTGCGATGAATCAGCCTGGATTCTGATGTTGGTATTACGTTTTAGAAGACCACTATCTGGGTGGCTTGTGGTGTCAAGGACATAATTTTTTTTTTTTTTTTTAAATCACAACACTACTGTAACTATATAGGAGGGATTCACTTTTTAAAAATTTCAGTTTTATTTCTCTGGGAAGGACATCAGAATAAATCTGACGGATATAAAAAAATTATCAAATGTGTAACAATATGGTTGATTTAATGAAACAGCAGCAAAATTTGTCACAATGAACAAGCCTTGCATCAGCTATCCTTTTTTTGGAAACATTGTATTTGCAATTGAAGAGAAAGAATCTGAGAAATTGGCTGATCTGGGCTGAACTTGTTGTGGTCTTGATGAAGACACTTTACCCTAATTGCTCTGACAGAATGTGACAGACTTCCCATATCATTTTCAATGAGGTAGTCAATGGCTAATCAAGGAGACACCTCAAAAATGACCCATGACTGTTCATAGGGTGACAATTCCAATTGCAAACAACTTCAGATTTCAAAGATTTAAACAACCAGTGTTCCTTGAGCCATCATACAGAGATGACGATAAGTATAATATATGGAGCATTATATTTAATGCTCTGGATTTTGATGATGTGGATTTCTTAGAGTGCTGTTGGTATTTTTTGCTCGGATATTCCGTTTACTTCCAGGAGCTGAACACTAGTGGTTCTATACAGATAACATCTACATCAGTTAGTCAGTGCTATACCAAAGCTCTGTACAACATTTCTGAAGTTCTTTGGGGAGGAAATTTATCCTGATAAATCTATGATATGTATCTACATCAGATTGGGTATAGTTTTAGAGGATGGGAGTAGCTGTTTTACACTGTTAAGAATTTGAGCACCAGAACATGGATACCATCTATCAAAACTCAGTAGCTATAACTCGGCCTTGCCTGTCCAATCTGATACATAATATTTCAACATGGAAGGAATTTTAATTTTCTTCATAAACACACTTTTATCTATAAAGTTGATATCTTTCTAGTTTAAGTTGAGCTCAATTTAGTTGATGCACTAGCTGAATGGTTGGTTCCCTTATAAATTCCCCTTCCACTAATATTCTCAGTGATAAACAGCTGTTCACAATCCATACCCCTACAACATTTCCATAGGCTCCACCTGGGGTTATCTACGTATCAGTTCTTTAACACTTTTTGAGAAATTAATTTTCAAAGATTACATTCTGTAATTAAAAAGTGAATATTACACATTAAGATGTTTAATCTGAACAATGCTTCATTTCAGACCAAAACTTTGTGAGATTCAGTACTGATGTGAATGATAAACACTGCAGCTTGAAATCCCAGCACACTATGTGTTACATATTACAATGAAGGGGAGATAATCACCTTTTTCAGTCTGCCGAGAGCCCCCTGTGGACATTCTTTTTTGTAGTGTCTTTTAAGACGCCTCATCTCTGGTTTTGTCATTCCAATTCCGACTAGGTCATCCTCCTCCACATACTTGAGTTGAAGAATCGTGGTAATCTTTAGATCCGAGGACAGAGCACAGTAGTACTGGGATAGCTCTGCCTCCTCCAGGAAATCCAGGAGGTCCCGTGCTGTGGTTCCCATGGTGATGGGCTTGTAACCTCACAACTGAAAAAATGGGAAAATATATTTTAAGTAATACAAAGTTATAAGGTATAGCCAATAAAGTGGTGTGTTCAATGCTGTATATGTACATCACTTAACTGTGGCACCACAACTCTCTGCATATGTCCTTAGCTGAGATACATGCAGTCATTGCATATGGAAGACAGTGTGAGATAGGCATTGGTCTATATGGTTAGGCCTGGACGGTAGCCTTTAGTTGGACCCAGTCCTGTTTGCCACATTAGTAGTCTACAGAAATGTATCCATTAAGTAACATTATTATCTTACTAAAATTACCACCCTTCACTTAAGATGTAGAGCAGATAGAGGTAGAATTATCACTGCTCTGTGCGTCATTTTCTGACCAGGAATTTTTCTGTCATTACAAATACTATAACATATCCTGTTGACCTAAACACCGCATGTTCGTAGTACAAACCAGATTAACACACCATGCAAGTCCTCTAATGAATCAAAGTAAGTATTTTTTCAGTAACCACATCATCATGAATGTTGCTTTTATGATAAATTTCAATGACAGATCCATCTTAAGACAAGAATATTACAATTTTACATATGGCAAAGTCATCCAAAGACTTGTACAGGAGATATCTTAAACCATGTCTATGACAATGTTACGAATGACAATTATGTATGTAATTTTACAGATATTACATTGGGTAAATAATTTATTTTCAGACATATCTTTTACACGATTCTTTTGCAGTCCAAACCTATGTTTATATAAATAAAGAGACGCCATTTACAAGATTCAGTAGTTGGTGATGAGGTAACAACACTTGTCCCTTTGCCATATCAATTAACACAGATCTCTTGACCTGTTCTGACATGGCTGATGTTCTCTTTCCTGCTTAGCTTTTTCCTCAATCATACCAGTGCTAACTCCCTGATGTAAACTAGGTCAAAATAACAACCTTTTATTGCTTTTCTATGGTAACATCCTTTCTTATTACTGTAATGCTTTTTCACAAATAGTACACACTAACCTCTGTTTAAGCTCTTTCTAATACATCATTTTAAGCTCTTTAAGTCAAAATTTGTGCCCTGAGTCTTTCAAAGTTGAAATTTGTGCCCTGAGTCTTTCTAAGTTGTAATTTCTGCCCGGAGTCTTTCTCAGTTGAAATTTCTGCCCAGAGTCTTTCTAAGTTGAAATTTCTGCCCTGAGTCTTTCTAAGTTGTAATTTCTGCCCGGAGTCTTTCTAAGTTGTAATTTGTGCCCAGAGTCTTTCTAAGTTGAGATTTCCACCCTGAGCATTTCTAAACTGAGATTTCTACCCTTAGCCCTTCTAAGTTGAAATTGTTGCCTTGAGCCATTCTAAGCCCATTCCAAGCTCAGATTTCTGCCCTAAATACAATGTATTAAAATTATCTGGCCCTTTCTGACATCCTTAAGACCATCTTATTTTAGACATCCTCTCTGTTATCCAGTATCATGTCTATGTGGCTGACAGGGACACGTGGATTCTGTCAACTGAACTCTTCCATTCCACCACAATATCAACAAACTGCAAGCGATATACACACGCTATCAGGCATTATCTAATCTAACAATTTTAGACAGAGGGCAAAGTCTCTAAATGTTTCTAAGGCTAAAAACAAGCCAAACTTATCTGGTGCATTTATTTGCTTTTTAAAAGACACTGGCTATTTTGCAGTCTTAATCAAGTCTGTCAAATTACATTACCAGTCAATGATACTTCAAGGAAACTTTGCCAGTTATCAAAAACACTCATCTATAATCAAACAATCTTTCCTTTCTTTTTAATGTCTTTAATACGTATATAGATATATTCTAAATACAGTGGTATGCTATGATTGTAAGATGACTGGGAAAAGAGACTCATAACTACCCTTATGGAATATAGAACAGCTGTAACACCATGAAGGTAATCATTTATACAACAGTAATGTTAATTGTTCCTCGACATGTGTGGCACTCACTTCACAACTTACTATTGGAACTCAGACATACTAACATCAGCAAGCCGCTGCTTGCCTTGACAGAAAACAGGTCATACTGATTTCCCATAGCACCAGAGACAGTTACAGTCAGCAACATCTATATTACAACTCATTCTGCTATTGGGTCATGGTGTAAGGATATACAAAGATTAGCTGGAGCTGTCAGCTTCACTTTCATCACTAATACAAGGGGAAGTAACTCATCATGATAACTTATTTAAATGCTGGCAGAGCAAGATCATGAGATTGTGATGCATACGGAGACTGAATTTTAAACAAAATTTTTAATCTGTAATATGATAAGAATCATCATCACAGGATTCAAATTTGTTAGTTGTAAATGAAAAAACAATCTTAATCATAACTGCTGACTCATTAGAAGCTCTACAACTGTTTCACACCGGATAATTCAAACCAGCAAACACTACTAGTCAAATTTACACATCCAAGAGATGTTTACTGAAGTTTTCCTGTAGCCTGTAGACTTAACCTTCAGGAATTTAGTCATGATCAAGGGACATCACATCAGATGTCGTATAATTATACCCGAGGACATAACTTTTTGCAAGTATACAGATTTATTTTAATTCATGAAAAAGGAAACATTTTAATAAACACAAACAAAAGACATATAATTGTATAAGGGGACATAACTCTCTGGAAATTGCTAAAACAATGTTACAGCTACAACAATACTCCAGGAAAGTCAATAAACACTTAACTCGTTAAATCATCAACACCTGCAGAATTAGTGAGTAAACAGCTGGTACAGACCTTGTACCTAGCTTTTCTCCTAACCCTATATACCACATAGTCTCTGTACAATACCAATCCTCCTTACACCACATACTCACATGTGCTTTCAATGGAATGCTACCAAATGGTGCCCCAGGTGTTTTATATATAAGACTGGTGCACCAAGGCTTCTGATGAAAGAGATGAAGACATACAGCATTAGCTATGTAATTAGTGAGGTGCATTCTATTAAAAATAACACATTGACTGAGTGGCACCCAGAACCAGAGTCTAGCTCAGGGGAACCAGTAGAAATTTCTAACCCAAAAATGTACTGATGCAGAAAACTGTTTGAGAAAGATGTCAAGCAGATGATTTAGATATTTCGTGGTTAGTTTAATAATTTGTAATCATGACTGATCAAAGCTTTAGCAAGGGAAAAAGACAGTTTACAGTGGCGCAAGTCCTCATATAAGAAAACAGAAATTAGATGATATAACATGAGAATATTGAAAATCTCAATTTTTAAAATGTTAGAATTTGGATAAATTCAATTTCAGTCCTAAAAGTGTTCAGAGTGGACAAAATACAAATTTAGTCCTTTAAGCATACAGATTTGAGAGAATAGAAATTGTAATTCTTAGATTCCATGTGATTGGGGTTTGTATTATAAATAAAGTCATTCTGAGGATACCCGATTACAAGTGTGTAGAATTGAACCTCACATCCAAAATGAGGTGATATAATCAATAACGCAGTACCATTTTCTCCAGTAAGTTTTATAAATAAATTCTGAAGGCAAAATTCTAGCAAACACTATAGACTACTGGTATGCTGTTTGCAAAATTGTAATCTTTTATCTAATCTGATTAAGCTTCTCCTCCCAGGTGCTACTAACTGTACTCTAATCAATAAGAGAAGATCCCATAATCTGACTAGGAATCTTAACCACATAAATGGACTAGTATCCATAATCACATAATCTGACTAGGAATCTTAACCACATAAATGGACTAGTATCCATAATCACATAATCTGACTAGGAATCTTAACCACATAAATGGACTAGTATCCATAATCACATAATCTGACTAGGAATCTTAACCACATAAATTGACTAGTATCCATAATCACATAATCTGACTAGGAATCTTAACCACATAAATGGACTAGTATCCATAATCACATAATCTGACTAGGAATCTTAACCACATAAATGGACTAGTATCCATAATCACATAATCTGACTCACTGTTGGTAGAATGTTAGCCAACACAACCTCATGTGAAGATCCGAGGTGTGTGGTTTGACACTCCCTACCTGCGGAGGTAAGTGTTTCTCAGGAAGCTGAGAAAAGACCCATTCTGTGTGGTCATTGTAAAGTGTCCTAGGGCAAAATGTGTCATCTCCATTATTCTTAATGGCATGTGACTGGCCTCCTGTATGTTGTTCAGAGATGTAACCACCATCTACTCCAAGGAGACAAAACCTCTAAATGACCCTGTGGCTGAAGGGCCATACACTCAGCAAACATATAATGACTCGCATAAGCTGACTAGAATCCTCTTCTCTAAATATCCCAACAAGATTTCCTTGATATGATTGACTACTTTACTTGTTCTGATTATGTTGATAGCTAAGTTTCCCCTTCTGTATAATGTAGAGAAAGCATTCCCTGTATTAAAAAGATATCATCACCACAGCCGGTATAAACTGGGACAATATAGCAACATTTTATAAAAGATTGGGAGAAAAACCCTTATAATTTCTTCATTTTTGAAAATATCACACTTTTAGGCTAGAGGAAACAGCGCATAAAATATCACTGTAAACATTCAGGTGCATTACACAATGTAGCATGTAAAAACCCAGAAGTGTATTTTATAAAAGCCATCCTTAACTGTCAGAGCTCTGTATTCCCTTACACAGCTATTAATCTCCTATGACACTTCATTTACAATGGGTGAGACAGCACACCGATAATATGCAAGCTTGACAATTTTTTAGGAATGTAATTTAATAATCACATGCAATAATGTCTACAAATCTACAATGCACCATATCTAGACCATTTAAATCTGAAATTCTTCAAAGTGTAAGTTTTAAAAAATAATAATTTTTTTTGATGATTTGGGACATGGCATATATTAACTGTCAAGCTGGCTATGATTGAGGTTGTGTATTATTATGTAACTGTAGACTCCCCCAGGTAAACAACAGCTGTGCAAGGAATATTTCTTGGGCCCTGTCTCCTTTACTGACATCTTAATGAGTATTGTCTTGTT